CAAGTGAAGGTGCGTGGCCACCAGTAATTTCATTTTAGACCTGAAATTTTTCTGGAAGCTCGCGTTCACTGCTCGAGCGGTGAAAAGATCGCTTGAGTGGTCTGTTCGAAGCAACCAATGTAAAAATCAATTTTTGCTTAATTCTTTCTCACTTTTTCATATCCTCTCTTTCTCTAACACCCATTTCCGAAAACCCTAGCCAAAAAACACTTGATTTCTCTCATTTACTAAAGATCCACCTTAAATCTTTTAAGAAAATTGAAGAGCAAGCTTGGTTCAAGATTTCTACTGATTGTTTCGCATTTCTTTGAAGTTTCTTGTTAGGTCCTAGCTCTCATTTTCAAGGTAGGGTTACTTTTAACTGAGTATGGCTATGATTTGAGATATATATGTGGTATTTTTCTAGTTATAGTGATGTATGAGATGATTTTGTGATATTAAGTGGGTTTGATAAACAAAAGGGACTTATGCCTAATGTTTTTTTAGAAAGATCATGAATGTTCTTGTTGATTATTGTTGTTGTTAATGAAATAGACTCTTTAACTGTAAAAGAGGGAAAAGTCTAAATTTTCTCAAAATTCCTAGTTTTCAAACTTGATTTAACAATGGTGCTTGGTTCAATTGACTCTTAAATCTTGGAATTGGGTAAATGTTATGGCAAAGGTGTTGAGACTTGGGAGTTTTGAACCTTCTTGGATATATTTATTGTGATAGATGAATGTTGAGATTGTGGAATTGAGAGGTTGGAGAACTCCATTGTTATTGATATTGTTAAATCTTTTTTATGAATTAAATAAACCCTAGGGAAATTGGACTTGAAAATTCATGTATCATGTGCATCATAATTCTCTCATGTGATCTTACAATCTTGTGAATATTGGGAATGTTGGAAGGGGGTAAATAATGTATGAGTCCGAGAAGTAGAGTCAGATTTTGGAAAATGAGTTGTGTGTTGTATTGGTATCCGCGCGGAGAGTCAAGGTGCTCAATTTCTCTGTCTTGAGCTTATCGTCGGACGAATATAGGAAAATGTTTTTGGGTGTCCATGAACTCGTCGTTTCAAGAGTCAACAAATATGGAAGGGCAATGTTTTTGGTGCCCATCACCTTGTTGTTTATAGAGTCGGAAAATGTGAGAGTATTTATGTATATAAATCTATATGTATGTATGTACAGTTTTGTGGCTCTTGCTTAGGATTTCATAGTGTGTTTACCACCTCATAGTTATGGATAAGACTTGGTATGGAAATCATGCATTTAACATCATTGTTTTTGAAAGAGAATACATAGATTTTCTTATCACTCTCATGGCATGATCTTATGCATCCCGATCATTTACAGACTCTGTTAATAGTATTTCTATTGGGCAATAGCTCATCCCAAACTAACAATATTTCAAAAAATAATGGTGTGACTCCACTCAAGTGACTTGGCAGTGGATATGTTTTGAAAGGAGCACGAAGGCTCAATGGATGTTATTTGCTGAAGCTTTGGAGCTGTTTTGTGATTTGGGTGATTGTCTATTTTTATGTACTCAAGGACTATCCTTGAAAATGTGTACACCATTAGGGCATTATACTTTTATATTTCTATTGCTCCTTGCACTACTATTACTACTACTACCATTATTATAATTATTATTATTATTATGTAAATGGAACAATGATGTTTTCACTTGGAATAGTTCTATGAGAAAAAGATTATTTTGAGTAAAGGACTATATTCTCTGATGGCATTCATTGTACGGATTAGAAAATATTTATTGTTTTAAATTATAAAATGGTAGATAAATTTAGGGACATTATAGTAGAGTAAGTGTGGCGATAGGTGAAATCTTTGGAGAAGTAGGGCATGATCATGATCGTCGTGTTCGTTCTCATTCCTCACGATCTCTTCAATGATAAGGCTAGCGAAGCTCAAATTCGAAATGACAACGACATCTAAGATGTGAAAGTCTCTCTTTGCTACATCAATGGTGTCGGCAGCATCTGAGATGTGGAAGTGTTGGAAGTCTCTCTCTACTACTCTTTGGTGTAATTTATCTCAAAGATTTGATCTATTTTGTTACATCCTATGAACTCGTAATTCACCTTGAAGATACTAGTTTAGTAGTATCTCATGTGGTGGTGGTGATGGTGGTGGTGTTGTTGTTGTTGTTGTTTTTTTTTTTATAAGATAATGTGACTTAAAAAATAATGACTTTTTTTTTTTTTTAAATTTTTTTAAAGGTGCATAATGATCAAGACTCTGGCAAGATCTCTACCATTATCGATTACATATTGCCCTTCAAATCCCAACCAAAACCCTAATCGTAACCCAAATCCTTTCTCCAATTTTAAGGTTTATTAGCAGATATATTCAAACTGGCTTAGATCTATTAAAATAGATGACTATTTGTCTAATTTTTTTTGACCTCATATTTGAATTTTTTGTTTTTTGTTATCTTGGTTGTTGTTGTTGTTATATTTGTTTAAATTTATTTCTGTTTTTGTTTTTGTATTTATTTTTGTTTTTGTTTGTTTTGAAAAGAAGATGTATTGAACATATTATAAACACAGATCTGTTTGAAGTGAATAGATAGTTTTTCAATTTGGTCTTGTGTTCTTCAATCAGTGAACAAATAAAAAAATAAAATAAGTAAACTATCAATAGGTCCTAATATTTAAACTTAATTAAGTTCTATTGAAAGTTAGTCCTAGTAGAATTGTCACTAAAAATAATTTTTTGCAATGATTTTTTTGCACGTCACTAAAAATTGACAATTAGCGACTTTTTTTTGTCACGATATTTAAAAATTGTCGCTAAAACTTACAATTAGTGATTTTTCTGTGAATAGTTTTTCAAATTGTCACTGAAAGTTGAGAATTTAGTGACTTTTTTATCAAAAAAAACTGTCGCTAAAACTAATAATTAGTTATGTTTTTTGTATTAAAAAAAAATTCAAATTGTCGCTGAAAATTAACAATTAGTGACATTTTTTTAATAGTGTTTGATGAAAAATGTCGTTAATTATCATAGGAGCTATTGGACAATAAGTTTACCTATTATGACCTACACGTAAATCGCCTTCCAATAAAAGATGATAGTTTTCTCATTTTATAAATTCAATTTGGTCTTGTGTTCTTCAATCAATGAACATATAAAAAAAATTATTGTTGTTGAACATATCTATAACAAATCTATTCAAATTTTGAACAGATAGTGGCTTGGTGTATGTCAGTAACAAAGATTTGAACAGATAAAAAGTCAACCGATAGAATTAAAGGAAAAAATTGAACATAAAATAAAATTTGGATAAATAGATTTAACCAGATAATTAAAAAAATTGAACAGATAATAAAATTTGGACATATATTTGAATAGATAAGGAAAAAAAATTGGACAAGTAATCAAAATATTAAATAGATTATTTTTTTTTTTTTTGAACAGATAGTCAAAAAAATTCACCTGATAGTTAAAGGGTAAAATTGAAAATAAAATGCCCTCCAATACAACAAAATGATTTCTCACCAAACAATTTCACAAAAAGTGAATCTCTCACCAACAAAAAATATCAATTGGATCTAATGCCTTATACCCTCTTTAGATTGATCTTTTCAACAATTTTCTCTTAAAAATTAAGGTTAATTTTATTTTTTACTTTTGAACTATTTTAATCCCTACATAATGGATTGATTTTACTAAGTCCATCAAATATATAAATTAAAATTTACTTAATCCCTGAACTATTAATTGAATGTATAAATCCTTAAACTGATTTTTTGTTTTGTTTTGTTTCTAAAAGAATTACAAAAATAAAATATAAACCTATAAGTATTATAAATTAATAAAAGATCTTAGTTAAAATTTTATTCTATAAAAAATCTTAAATTTCTAATCTTTAAAAAATGTTTTGTTTTGCTATGTTTAAATTGATATTAGAGCCTGATTTTTAACTTTGTCAATAAAATTATACAAACATTAGATTTACTAAAGAAGTAAAATAACACTTCGCTGTAAAAAATAATATAATATAATACATTAATTAAGTTATAAAGAGAACTTAACGAAAAACTTAAAGCTTTTAATTAGAAATTATAAACAAAATCTAAGCATATAATAATAGATTAAGCCAAACAAATAGCTATTGTATAAGAGAAAATATTATAGATAATTACTATTACCCTTATAAAGAAAATTCGAAGGAACTAGTTCCCAATTTTTAAATAAAGAATAGAAATTTTGAAGTTTTTTTAGAACAAATTTTTATTTGGTAATATCTTTTATTAATTTATTATAAAATGCTCATAGGTTTATATTTTATTTTGTAATCCTTTTAAAGACTAAATAGGTCTAAATAAACTTTGATTCAATTGATCCTCAATAGATTCAATCGATAATTTAATGACTAAATAGACTTTAGTTTATATACTTTAAGATATTAATAAACTCAATCGATTATTTAAGAACTAAGTAGACAATTTAACAATAATTTTAAAATGAAAACTGACATAAACCTTAAAAATTATTGAACTATCTTTTTAACGTTTTGGTCAAATTTCTATTTTTTAAAAGCTCTTTTAGGGAGGTCAGGTTTTCTGTCCCCCTCCCCTGTATTTTTTGAGGTCATTAATAAAATTTTGCCTCAAGCCATTGAAATAAAATATTTATAAAAATTTAAAAAAAAAAAAAAAAAAAAAAACAAAGGAAAAAAGGATATGGATGAAAATGGAATTTCACGAAACATTGATTTGAGGTTAAAGTAAGGACTCGTTTGGCAATTTACTGTTTTAGCTTAAAAGTTAAAAAAAATCACTAAAAAAATTAAAAAGTCAACAATCTATGTTAAAAAGTTAAAAAATCTCTTTTTTCTTTACTTTTTGCATATCTTTTCATAAAAAACTAAAAAATCATTCTAAATATATATATTTTTTTATATTTTAACTAAAAAACTAAAAAATTATTAAAATAATATATTTCCAAAGAAAACCTAAAAAAAAGTTATACCATAACAGCACATGATTCAAGGAAGGAACGATATTTCAAAGTGCGGTCCTTTTATTTATTCTACAGTGCATTGTACTGATACGATGAGAGTCACTATTTTTTATGCTCTAATAAAGCATTTTGATAATAGCAGTGTCAGTCCATTGAAACATACGAAACCAAATGAACAGATGAAAATATGTTGTTGGTTCATATATATATCATGACATGAGTCATCCATCCATCCATCCATCCATCCATCCCTTTCAAAGCTGAGATTTATAAATGTCATGACCAGCAGCAGCAGCAGCAGCAGCAGCAGCAGCGATAGGAGAAAACCTGAGAGAAAAGGAGTAGGGCAAAGCAGGAACCAGATACTTGTCATGGACGGATGGAGACCAACTATCGTCTCCACCCAAACCCATGTGCTTGTGGTCAAGATGCACCTGCCACCACACAAAACACAAACACAACACAGGAATGAACGTCGAATACTAATCTACTAAGGTTATTAGACAACATCTTTTAAAGATGGACTAAAACAAACAATCAGGTGGCAACTAAAATAATAAAAACCAAAAAGCAATCAGAATAAAGTCAGGTTGAAGAGTCCCAATCAAATCCATTCAGTCAGAAGGAAAAACAATGACAATAATAAAATATAAAAATCGGTTTGACGGCCACCTCCACCTTTACCGTCATCCATCACCACCCCTCTTCTCCAACCCACCATCGTCCACCACTATTCCTCCCCTTCCCTAGCTCACTGCCCCCTCTCTAATTCCTTCCCTAGTCCATAGCCATTGCCGTTGTCTAGCACTATCAACAAAAATTGTAAATTGTCCTTGTTCCATTAGTTATGGTTAGAATTAATACCATTTTAAAAGTTAAGGGTTTGAATTGAAACAACTAAAAAATTAGAATTTTATTTGTTACCACAGTCAAAACCTGAAATTTTGTTATTTTTTTTCCCAAAAAATTATTAGGGCAAAAGGTCTGATCCCTTGCCCTTTCTCCCTCTCTTCCTCGTTCATTACACAAGTCAGAAGCTGAGAACATACCTTTGGAAAATTGCCAAGACCGTAAGGGAAGCTGTCATCATCACATCACAACTCCTCTCTAAAGCACAACTCCCATTGTTGTCAAATTGCAAATCGAATCGGAAATCATTTTGCTAAAATAGCGAATCATGAAATGTATCGAATTGTGAATCCTAAGGTTCTTATTATTGAATATGATATATAAATAATTTTATATATTTATATACATATAAAAATACATAAACCAAATCAAGCCTTAATTCCCATCAGATAGGGTTGGCTGCATGAATCATTTTTCTCCACTCGACTTTATCTAAGACCATTTCATTAGTCAAATTAAAGAGATTTATATCTCCATCACTACACTAGTCCACGTCAATCTAAGTCCGCCACTTCCCTTAACAAAATCACATCTCTTAACTACTGCCTCTGTTGATCTCCGTGTATGACCATACCATCTCAATTTATTCTCTCTCAACTTATCTTCTATTGATACTACTACTACTCATTCTCAAATGAGTATTCCTAACTTTGTCCTTTCTAGTTTTGCCATACATCCACCTTAGCATTCTCATCTCAGCAACACTCATCACTGGTCTAATAGTCGTTCTATAGAACTTCCCTTTTAGTCTGGTGGGTACGCGTTTATCGCACAGTACCCAAACGCACTCCTCCTTTTAAGCCACTCTGCCTTAATTCTACGGATCACATCTGCTCCAATCTCCCTAGTTGTCGTGGTAACCGATCCTAAATAACGAAAATGTTCACTCTTAAGTAGCACTTGATTCTCAATTTTTACTTCTCCTCTGCTTCTATTGTCACTGTTACTAAAATTATACTCCATACACTCTATCTTAATTCTGCTTAATCCTTTAGATTTAAGTGTTTTTCTCTAAGTCTCAAATTTAGTGTTAACTCATTCTCTAGTCTCATCCACTAATATGATATCATCTGCAAAAAGAATACACCAAGGCACGTCATCCTGAATATTTCGCGTCAACTCATCCATAACTAAAGCAAAAAGATAATGACTTAAGGCTGATCCTTGGTGTAAACCTACAGTAATTGAAAATTCACTCGTCTCTCCAGCAGGCGATCTAATAGCGGTTACCATACCTTCATACATATCCCTAATCACATCAATTTAACCTCTTGTCACCCATTTCTTCTCTAACACTCACCAGATTATATCCCGAGACACTTTATCATATGTTTTCTCAAGATCAATAAAAACCATATGAATATCTATCTTCTTTTCTTTATATTTTTCTGTTACTCTCCTTAAAAGATAGATCGCTTCCATTGTTAACCTATCAGGTATAAACCCAAATTGATTCTCTGACACCTTTGTTGTATCGCACAATCGATTATACGGCGTTCCATCACTCTCCCACACTTTCATTATATGACACATTTGCTTGATTCCTCTATAGTTGTTGCAGTTCTAGACATCAGCTTTATTCTTATATATTGGCACTAAAATACTCTTCTACATAAAAATACATATAGTGTATAAATTTTATCAATATGACTAAATCATATATATATGTATATAACATATAGCAATATAACTAATTATTTTCTTCTATATATCTTCTTAGTTTGGCGAAAATGATGTTGTTTCATGCATTATGTAATAAAAAATACAGATAGAATTGAATCGTGTGAATAATAATGAATCGTAAATTGAATTGTACGATTCACTTAATTTCTGATTCAATATTTGTTTTTGTTGAAACTTGTATCGAATCGTATGAATCGAATCGTGAATCGTACGATTCTAACAACCATGCACCCTTCAACTAGCCCATGACTTCAAATCATAGTTAAACTTCTCATGACTTGTCGTTGCCACAGTACACACTGCTGGATTTCATCACCATCATTGACTAAGATCCTCTCGCATTCTCATTGAAACTCCCAGACCTAGGTCCCTGCAATCCTCGAGAAGATCATCTCATCATCATTTTCGAATTTGAGTCCTCTCTCATCGAATTTGTGCACTGCATTGACATTAGGTTTCAACGTAGGAAAATGTTGAAACGGGTGATAACCTCGACCCATTTACACGATGCAACCTTTTGATCCGGTTATGCCAATAAACCCATAACCACATCCATTTGTATTAATTTTAATTTGACCCAAAACAGCCAACTTAACCCAGTAGCATAGCCCAAATAGGCCCAAACCAACAAAAGTACAGACACAGCCCAATCCCCATCAAAACCCAAGACTAGTCACCTTAGAGCATCTCCAAGGGAGGAGGCAAAACAGCATTCTAAGGCATTTCTGCTAGTGCAACTGATTTTCTCCTCCTCCAAGGGGCTATGCATCAGAAGAGACAATGTCCATTTTGATTTTGGCTCTCCATAACTAGCTAGCCTTCATTGAGAATTGCTCCCTCCATCTCCATCTAATCAAGTACTCTTCTTTTGGTTGGTTTTGTATTTGTATATTGCATCCAATTGATTTGGTTTTGTATTTGCATATTACTATTTAAAAATATGATCGTTTGAAAATATTTTTTTTTAAAAAATAATTTATTATATTTAAAAAATAATAATTCAATTATATATATTTTAAAACTATTTGCAAATGCCATGTCAACATATGCAACATATCATAAAAAGATTATTTATCCATTTATCTATGTTTATAATATTTTTTTTCTTTTAAAAATTAGTTAAGTTAGTTTGATTGATTAGCTAAAATAAAGAGTGCGGCTGGACTGTACACTATCTAAACTAGTTGCCCAAAATAAAGAAGGTACTTTTCTGTGTACTTTTGCAAGGCATTTTGCATCTTACCCTATAACCATTAAGCCAGGTCCAAAAAAATAAAAGAATAAAAAAATTAAGCATTCAGGCCATAACTTCTACAAAACAACCCAGCCCAAATTGGTCCTTCACCCCAACCAGACCAGCCAATAAATACTACCCTAAATCCAATCCAGTTAACTAACCCAACTTTTTGATCAGACTACTTCACAAACAATTTCAGCCCATATCCTACCCTCACCCATTGCAACCCTCAACAACTAAACCTAACAACAGCTCTTCCAGTCCCACCAAGCCTAGGCCAGCCCACACTCAACCCAAAAACAAAAACAGAAGCCCAATTGCTCTCTTGTGTCATCAACCATAGTTACCAACGCAAAGTAAAATTCTAAATTGGACTGCAGACAAATATGTGCAAGAGATGAAGAAAACATTAACCCAGATTGATGTTGATAGAGGTGCCAAACTAGAAGTTCCAGATTTTAATGGGGACCGCGATCCAAAGGTATTTTTTGATAGGTTAAATAATTTAAAGAGTTTTCCTCAGTGGTACCACATGACAAGAAAGAAAGTTACTTTTTGGCGAAGCAAAATGAAGGGAACAACTAAAATTTGGTGATCTAAATATCAACGAGAACATTATGCAACTATTCGTAACAAGGAAGACATGAAAATTGCAATAAATCATGATTTTGCTCCACTAAGTTACAAACAACAAACTCATATGCAATTTACTCAGTAATAGAGGTTTGGGTGTATTGATGCAGAATGGTAGTCATTGCTTATGCTTCTCGCTAGTTGAGGCCACTTGAAAAGAATTATTGTACTCATGATTTGAAACTAGTTGCAGTTATCTTTGAGACAAACAAGGTAAAAGAACATACTTTCATCACTAAAGCCAATGACAAACAAGGAAAAAGGAGGGCAATAAAGTAAACCTTGACTGGGAGCACCTTTGAGATAACGCAAGATATGACACGAAGCATCAAAATGGGGTTGATAAGGAGTATGCATAAATTGGCTAACAACACCCACAACATATGTAATATTTGAATGAGTGACAGTAAGATAAATCAACTTCCTAACTAAACGGCGATACTGACCACTAATAGGAAACAACTCCAATCTCACCATCAAGTTTAACCGAGGAGTCCATAGGAGTATCACTAGGATGAGTGCCAAGGAGACCAGTCTCATAAATAAGATCAAGAACATACTTTCATTAAGAAAGAAACAAACCCCGAGAGGAGAGAGCAATCTGAATTCCAAGAACATATCGCAGATGACCTAAGTCCTTGGTGTGAAAGTGCGTACCCAGATAAAGCTACAGATCAGCAATACCAGTGGAGCCACTGCTAGGGATGATGATGTCTCCACGAAGATAATGAGAACAATAACCCCAGTAGATGAGTTACGAACAAAAAGAGTGATCAAAAATGGAACAATGAAATCCATATGTAAGCACAACGGTACTAAAGCGATCAAATCAAGCATGAGGAGATTGCTTGAGACCATATAAAGCCTTCCGTAACTGACAAACCAGATGCTCACTAGCAGGCACAACATAACCAGGGGACTGATCCATATAGACCTCCTCAATGAGATTGCCATGAAAAAAAACATTCTTTATACTAAGCTGATATAAAGGCTAAGACTAAATGACGACAACAGAGAGTAGAATCCGAATAGCATTAAGGCGAGCCATGAGGAAGAAGGTCTCTAAATAATCAACGCCAGAGGTTTGAGTATAACCTTTAGCCACTAAATGGGCTTTAAGCCGCTCAACAATACCATCAAAAAGGTACTCGACACAACAATCAACAGTCGGTTTCCCAAAAGGTAGAGGTGTAAGTTCCCAAGTCTGATTCTGATTAATAGCACTCATTTCCTCATCCATAGCATGTTTCCAACCCAACATAGACATTGCTTGCTAGTAAGAAGAGGGAATAGAAAGAGAAGACAAACTACAGGCAAATGAGTGAAAGTTTGGGAAAAGACGAGCATAAGAAACAAAATTAGAAATAGGATGTCGAGTACAAGTACCTTTACCTCGGAGCAATGCAATAGGTAAATCATCAGTAGATGGCACAGATGGAGGAGGGGCAGGAACCTCTGACAAAGAATATAAAGCAGCCAGGCCATAAGAAAGCACGTGATGAGCATGGGACCGCTGATTAGATTTGTAGGGGAGATGACAAAGAAGACTCTAAACCGATGGAAGAGGATGGGAGAACAAAGGGCACCAGAAGAGTAGGGGTGGGTAGAGTTGGAGTGGGGAGAGATGGCTCGCCATCATGACAAGAGATAAGATTATCCGACAACCGCTGACCAGGCAAGAAAAAAGAGTGGACTAAAAAAAATCTAACATCAGCACTAACAAAGAACCAACGAGACTCGGGATGATAACATCGATAACCTTTTTGTGTATGAGAATAACCTAAAAAAATACATTTGTGAGCACAGGAAGATAACTTATCCAATCCCAAATCAAGGACATGGACAAAGGCCACACAACTAAAAACAAGAGTAAGAAGAGGAAATGGGGAACAATCGGGGTATAACTGAGAAAAGGGAGACTAGTTCTGTAAACCAACAGAGGGCATGCGGTTAATATGAGAACAGGCAGTAAGCCCAACATCATCCCAAAACTGTTTGGGAACATGCATGCTAAACATCAAGGTCCGGGCAACATCTAACAAATTGCGGTGTTGCATTTTGCTAGGAGCACAACTAGTTTGATGTATAATACCCCGATCAACACAAAAAGCATTCACAACAAATTGCACATATTCTAAGGTGTTATCAGACTGAAATATCTTTAACACATTTTCCAATTGAGTTAAAACTTTATCATAAAACTCAAATTATTTGAGGCAAGTCAGACCATTGTCATAGTAAAAACAACCAAGTCATCCAAGAATAATCATCCATAAAAATAACAAAATAAAAGCAATCATTAATAGTGGGGGTGAGAGAAGGCCCCCATATGTCTGTATGGACTACATCAAAAAAAGAGGACACGTGACTAATACTAAGACTAGAAAAGGAACTACGGTGGTGCTTGCCAAGCTGACCACTTCACATTCAAGTTGAGACACAGGACTTAAAACCAGAAATGGCTAACTTAAGCTTGGCCAAGGATGGATGACCCAAGACAAAAATGCCATTGCAAGGGAGACACGGTAGCACTCAAAATAGTAGAACTAGGAGTCGAAGAGCCAGCATTGTCCAAGAGATATAAACCATACTTCTCATGCCCCGAACCAATCATCTTCTTAGTCTGGAGGTCTTGTAAAAAATATGAAGAGGGAGAAAAGGTTACAGAGCAGTTTAGAGCTTGAGTTAATTGACTAACAAAGCTTAAGCCAACCAAGGTAGCAGTAGAGGATGAAGGTTTACCATGATCAAGTTTACTTCTGCCAACACCAAGGTTCCGAGTGACCCATGAAATCACAATGAGTACACTTCCAATCACCACTGGATGCAGAACCCGCACCACGAGAACCACATGAACCAATATGAGATCCATGATGACTCGAGCTACCATGAAAACTACCCCGATTAGGCCCACAACCACCACTGCTCGAGATCAAAGCCGAAGAGGACACAAGTTGAGAGCAATGTTTTTAAAGGCTCAAGGCACACCAAGGCGCCAAAGGTCTCTGGGGGCTTAGGCGCTAAGCGAGATGCGGACCTTTAAGGCACACAATATTAGTAAAAAATAGATAAATTAACATAGACTAATTCATAATCTCGGTGTAATGTGTAATGAATTAATTATTTGTACCCTTTTTTTCCTAGCAGAGACTGAGACTCAAAATTGAAATGGAAGAGAAACAACATTGAAGCAAAGAGAAAAAAACAGAAACATGGTTATAAAAAAACACAAAGACAAAAGAAGAAGAAGACAACATGGAAGAGAAGCAAAACTTAAAAACAGGGAGAACAGAGAAGAAGAAGAAGAAGAAGAAGACAAAGACGAACACATCATCAAAGAAGCAAAAAAACAATAGCGAAGGGGAAGGACCCAACCTAGAAGAAAAAGCAAAAAAAACCCCCAACCCAAAAAAAAAAAAAAAAAAAAAAAAAAAAAAAAAAAAAAAAGCAGTTAGTAAAAAAAAGAAAAAAAAGAGCAACGAAGAAGAACTCACCCAGTCAAATCAAGCCAAAGAACTCAGACACCGCAAGATTTCTTCTTTCCAATCAATTAGGGATTTTCAGTCGTATTTGGGGCTGGGTATTAAGTTGTATACATCAGAGTTGTAATCCTATGTAATTCAAGTCTTTAAAAACACTGATATGAACCGTTGATTTCAATCAGGAGAAAAAAAAAAAGCCCATCAAGTCACACACCTTGCACCTTTTGTCGCCTGGCCAAAGTCACACGCCTTTTGTCGCCTTATTCAACTTGCCTCACCATGGGTGTCTTAAGGCACATCACTTGCGCCTTGCGCCTGTCACAACACTAGCTACGAGGAACCAGATGTGGAAGATCCCTAGCCCAGAGAAGAACGCAATAGTCGAGAATAGGTATTAGAAACAGAAGTAAGTCTCACTGGTGAGAATTTGATCTTTGAAACCCCGTAGACTAGAATCTAAACCCAAAACACTATAATAAACTCCTCCCAATATTTCTTTTGTTGAGCCAAATTAGAAGTAAAAGGTTGGTGTTGCAATAATCGATCCCACAAGGTCTTAAAGCCACAAAGATCTGCTCATACAACTCATAAACACGAGAGACAATAGTTTGATTGGAAAACGAATCAACAAGAGAGTCCCAAATGGCCTTAAGAGGTGTCACAAAATTCCACTATAGTAGGAACATGAGGTTCCAAGTTGTGCCACAACCAACCCATAACACAAGAATCCTCACTCAGCCAATTATCATATCCTTTAACATCCTCAGCAGGTGGAAGTTAAGTAAGATAACGCGACTTCTTGCCATGCAAGAAAATCTTAATAGCATGGGACCAAGTGAGACAATTCTGACCATTTAATTTCTTCGTGACAACGGACTTGGGTAACTCATCATTCTTAATTAAGACAATTTAATTTCTTCCCCATGGCAAGTGGTTGATGGTCATAGCCCAACGACAACGAAATTCCGATGACTCCACCATCAACAACAAACAACAATGTTCAAATGATGACTCGGTGGTTCCATGGGGTAGATCAAAGTAGCTAATCAATGGCAATGGCTTTGTTATGGCACTGACAAAGTTGAACACCTATTTTTTTATTATTTTTTTATTTTTTTTGAATGAAACAAGGTAACCATGGGTCAAGGGTTTTGTCTCTAATACCAATTGATGCAAAACAGCCGATAAAAGAAAATAAAAGTACTGAAAAATAAAGGAAGAAAGGTCACATCAAAACAAAAACAAAACTAAGCGAAACCCTAAATCTCTTCTTTCAATGTCAAAAATTCAGCATCATAATCTGCATAAACCTATTACATAGGTGTCCAAAAAAACCCGAATTTAAAATTTAACAAAAATAAGACATACAATATTTAGATCCTACTTAATATTCAAATTTGATATAATTCCTAAAATCTAAATTTGCATAAGCTTTCAATTCTTTCCTCATCCAACACCTTGTTGTCATGAAGTCGTAACCAACCTTGGTTTCGTTAGAGACATGAGCTCCCACAATGTACAAGATTTTTACTTATTCTGCATTTGCCATGAATTTGGTAGATAAAAGGAGGGAGATGAATAGTATGGTGGTGATGGAGAAGGGAATGATCCAGTGTTATAGGTGGGTTTCTGTTTGGTTTATAGATTAATCGTTGGAAGCAACAATGATCCAATGTGGTGGGTGGGATTGTGCTTGGGAGGAAAATCATGTGTGACAAGATAATCTTCTTACTTTTCTACTTCTCCATTTTTTTATTTTTTTATTTTTAAAAAAAAAAATGTATATTCTAGTCAATTTACATTGAATACTTCAATTCGACAAAAAGAAAAAACAGATAAGAAGTTACCTCAATGTCATCTCCTTTGATAAGTTCTTGATTGTGTGTTGCACGGTAAAGCTCTTGTGTGGTGTAGTAACTTGCATTCATTTGCATAGGTGGAGATGCGCCATAAATTGAAGCATAGATTCCTATGCCTTCCTTGTTTTCAAATGTCACCCACCTAACATCTGCCCTACCTGAACATTCTCCAGGAACAATATAGGGAACATGCATGTCACTCACATTCTGCTCATATACATCCACAAAAGCTGCTTCTTTCCGATCTGGATAACATTCAAAGGGCCCTCTCCCATACCATTTGATCTGGTCCATTGATTTGTTCAAATGGAATTCAACCCCAACGCGCGGCAAAGGGGGAAGCTGAGAACTCGGCGTCACGTTACATTCCACAATGACATCTCCAGAACCATAGATTGAGTAAGTCATATCAACTTTGAAGAGAACGTTTGACTTATTCAATTCAGAGCAAGACTTATCCTCAGCATTTGGGACACAGAGATAGACAATTGTTATTTTCACATGATGATCAGTCATGTTCTCAATAGAACAACTTTCAATCATGAAGAGCATGTTATCAAGATGGGCAGCTTTCCACTTGGAGAAATAACTACTTGCACCTCCACCTTTGTCATTATCTGTTGGTGCCCGCCAGAAGCATGGAAAGATGCCTTTATGCATCACTGGAACCCCTTTAACCTATCATTGACAATATATGCCATAAGAATTTGAAAAGAATTTATGCAAGCTCTTATTAAAGTAAGTCAATTTTTTTATGATTTTAAAACATTTAGGCTGTCAAAATGAAGGAAATCAACATGCTTTATGGCTCTTTCTTCGTAACAAAGAACAAGTGAAAAAACACAGTATTACACCTTTCAGTAAAATGGTAATAACTGCGGCCAATTTAATAAACACAACTGCATAGACTACCTTCCAGCTTTCCAATGCTCCTGTTTGAGTGTTTATTTTTATCTCCCAAACATTCCGCTGGCTAGCTGTTATTGTATCTCCAAAACTTTCAACATGCAAATTGACATCTTTGGTTTTGATGACCTAAAAGCCATAAACATTTGCAAGCTAGTTAGTAATATCAGAAAATGCTATCATGTATAAAAATTTAGTGTTATGGGTTGAGCAATTACATGAGGAGCAAATTCTCTTTTCGCAGGCAACTGAATTTGAGCAGATGAAATGACATGACCAGATTCAACCCACCGTGTGGAGTTTAAAAGCTTTACAGTTATTGTCAAGAAATTTTCTGCCGTAAAAGATGATGCCCATAGAGAATACCAAGGTCCAGACTCCCACTTTATTTCATAATTGCTCTGGGGTTCTATCAATGGAAGAGAAAGGACTCCAGAGCCAAGTTCACATCCATCACCATGAATGGACCAGCTAAACTCTAATGCTTGCGTCGTTTCATAGAAATTTGTGTTGGTTATCTGTGAAGCAAAAAACCAGCTGATAATAAACACAGACTCCATTTTTACAAAAAAAAATAATAATAAAAAAAAAATATAAAAAAAAATAAAAAGAAGAAAAAAAAGAGAGAGACGAAAAGAAAAAGACGGGTGAAATGTGATAGTACCTTTATTATCCCTTCCTTGAATGAAACCTTGATTGGTTGATAAACATATTTAACCTCTGAAAACAATAGTAGACATTATGAGCTGTAATGCAAAACCATGAATAATGCTCCATTTAGGAAAAGAAAATAAATATGAGGTAAATATTCAAGTTACCATGTAGTGCAGGATGAGGAGTTCGATCTGGACACGTAAGACCATTCAAACAGAAATTCAAATCATTAGGAGTATCCCCAAAATCACCTCCATATGCCCAACGCTTTCTACCATCGGCACCATCCTTCAGTAGGGCCTATATTGAAAGTAAAATTTTTCAGACCTTCTACACCCCCTCCCCCACGTATGCAAACACATTAGGAATATGCAAACACATTGGGTTCTATCCAAGGTCTACTGGCAACTATGTGAAGAAATTCAGCAATATGACTCGGAATTCTTCAAGAAATCTACTTGTTTAGCAAATCTACTTATACTAGTCCTGAGCATTTCTTTGCTACCTTTGAGCTCATCTTCATCTCTTTTTACTGTGCAAAACTGCTAGGCAAAAAACAAAAATTTGAATCCTAACTACTTCCCGAAAAACACAACAGAGCTAACCTAGCCTAGGTGGTGCAATCTAAGAAGCACATGAACAAACATGGGACACATTGATTTCCAAAAGATCAAGATACAAATGTATACGAATATTACATCCACAAACAACTAAAAAATAATGAAAAACAACTTAATCTGCAAGTTAAAATTTATTGAATATATAAAATACTATTTCAACTTATATAAAATACACATGTCCTGGCTATTAAAGTCTTTTTTACAACTGGTTGTTTGTTGCCTGATTGGAATGCTACTGCATTGGCTTTAACCCCTAAGACACGCTGCCCTTCTACTATGAAAGACTACAGACCAATAGTTTGCTGTAACGTGCTATATCTATGTATTACTAAGATTCTTGCTAATAGGCTTCAGCCTCTTCTACCTCTTCTAATCGGTCAATCTCAATAAGCTTTCGTTAATGGTTGATCCATTGCAGATAACATTTTACTTTTTCATGAGCTTGCTAGGAGCTATCATAGGAATGAGGTGCCTGCTACATGTACCATTAAAATTGACATTATAAAAGCATATGACTCTGTTGATTGGGCATTTTTGTAGGCATTTTGGCTGCCATGGAGTTTCCCCTTCAGTTCATTAATTGGGTTCATACTTGTGTCTCTACAGCTAAGTTTTCAGTGGTCATTAATGGTGAGTTGGTGGACAACTTTAAGGTGTTGTTTGGATTATGAATTTGGGTAGGGATTTGGAAAGGGAAAAAGAAAAGGTGGGTGAAATGTAGTTATATTTCATTCATATTTCACCCACCTTTTCCTTTCCCTTTCCAAATTCCTATCCAAATCCATGATTCAAAACACAACCAAAGGGGGTAAAGGGGCTTAGGCAAGGAGATCCTATTTCCCCTTACCCTTTCTTTTTAGTAATTAAGGTGTTTTTGCTATCTTAAGGAATAAGTTTGAAATGAGAATCTTCATCATACATGCGCAGATGATTTGTTTGTTGTTTGTGGTGTGGATGAAGAGTCCCTTTCCATTGTAAAGAAGGATGTGGATGATTTTTTTATCATTATTCTGGTGTTCAGCATAACTTGCAAAGAGCTCCTAGTTTTTCTCTAGTGTGTGTGCTGAGTTACAAGATGTCTTGTGTGCTATTTTGCCTATCCCTATAGGCACCTTTCCTATGAAATACTTTGGGGTTCCACTCATCTCTACTAGATTGTCTTATGAAGATTGCTTACAACTCAAAGATATAATTCTTCTTAGGATTAGAAGTTGGCCCAATAAGTTGCTGTCCTTTGGTGGTAGATTACAGTTTGCTCAGTCAATTCTATGGTGTATACAGGTTTATAGGTGTTCTCTTTTCATCTTGCCTCAAAGGATTTTAAAGGAAATTGAAGGAGTAACTAGATCCTTCCTTTGGACAGGGGCTGCCTTGAAGCAAACAAGTGCTGAAGTTGGTTTGGATTTTGTTTATTCTCCTAAATTGGAAGGAGGCATAGGTTTCAAACCTGTCAAGCTTCGGAATAGAGCTTCCATCCTCAGAGATCTGGGGACCATTAGCAAGCAAGAAGCCACTCTTTGGGTTAAATGGATCCACACTTCTGTAATTAAGCATAAGAATTTGTGGCATACGACCCTCCCTCAGGATTCTTCTTGGACAGTTAGGAAATTGTTCAAATTAAGGGTTTAGGCTCAGCCTCTAATTAGATATATGATTGGGGATGAATGTGAGACCTTTTCATGGTTGGACAATTGACATCCAATTGGTCCTTTGCATAAAATCTATGGTGAAAGAGTGGTTAGGAACTTAGGAAGCTCCCTCCTTGCTAAGGTTAGTTCCATTATCAGTAATAGTTTTTGGAGATGGCCAAGACTTAGGAACACATCTATCCTTCATATTATAGTAAACAAACCTGCTAATTTCATTCCTAGATCTAAGCACGGAGACTCTGAGCTTTGGTGTCTTGCTGGCAATGGAAAAACTCTTTGTTAGGTTTGCTTGGAATGCTATCAAAGTGCCTAATAGCTGTGTTCCTTGGTGCTTTGTTGTTTGGTTTAGCAACAATGTCCCTAAATGGGCTTTTATCCTGTGGCTCTACTGTTTGAGAAGGCTGTCTACTAAGGATCGCCTGCCAAAATGGGAAATGGAGTTCCTTCTCTTTGTGTACTCTGCAAGCTTTCACATGAATCTCATGGCCACCTTTTGTTTAAATAAGCTTATTCTGGTTGTATTTGAGAAGATTTCAGATTTCTAGAGTGCCTTTGCACTGGTCTGCTGAATTGGACTGGCGTATTTTACACATGAGAGGTAAGAGCTTCAAGGATGCTGTGTTTAAACTTTTTCTTCGTGCTGCTATATATCATGTTTGGATTGAGAGGAATGCACATATCTTTAGCAATAACAAAGCTTCTGATGTTTGTGCTGTCTTTAAATCTATGGAAAAAAAATGTGGGGCATGGAATTTGCTCATGGAATGGGGTGGTTGATTCTCTACCTAATTGGGAAGTTTGTCGAGCTTGGAATCTTCCATTGAGAATCTTGAGTTGTAGCATGTTTACTAGAAGATTTTAGCTTTTCTGTTTTTCTTGCTTTTGGTTTTGCCTTTACATTGGGCCTTGTATATTCTTTGTTTTCTTCTTGTTTCTTAAATTACCATAACAAAAAACTAAAAACTTAAAAAAAAAAACAAAACAAAAATCACAACAAAACACAACAAAACAAAAAAAACAAAAAAACTTCTAGAAAAAACTCATTCTACAAGTTAAAACTGTGGTTGTGTAGTAGTGCAAGACGAAGAATACTGGTTTATTACAAGTAAAGATATAGTCATTTCAACAATCAAACAATAATTTAGAATGTCAATTCAAAGAACTTCACAATCAGATTCAAATACCAATTCAAAAATCAAGGGATAGAATGCTATTTGATTGTATTCTTTAAAGAATAAGAGAACACAATACAAATGGATGATTAATGCAGACAAAATGTTTATATAACAATGATTATGAAATTATGATGACTTTTTTATTCAGCAAAGAAAAAAAATAATGACTCTTTTTACAGTTCATGACAAGATAAATGTCATGGGGCGTGTCTTTTGGTGTGTTCAGAAGTGGGGCACATGTGTCCATGACATGTCCCCAAAGTTTCTGAGAGGAAAAAAAGAAGTTTTAAAGATGGGACATGCAACATGGCATGTCCAATATGTATCCCGACGTGTCTAAGGCATGTCAGTCTCTGACACATGTTGAACATAGCTATGACAACTAAGTTGAAGTGTCCGTACTTCATAAGGTGCAACACAACCTGGCGAATTGTCTAATTTCCACAACCCATGATAGTAACTGGAATCAAAGTTAGGTAAGACTGGCTTATTGGACCTAGTACTTTCATTCTGAGCCATCAATGGATCTTATTAGCCAGTTTAATGTGAACTCTGAATACAATCTTCTAAATGAATAGAATGGAAATATTATTAGATTTTATTTATCAAAAAAAACAAAGGAAATATTATTAGATTCTTTTCAATTTTTTGTGACTTTGGTCCATTTTCCAAAGTCATATTTTTTAGATGAAAGTTGGACTTAAATCTAGAGGGTGTTAGCAGAGGATTTTTTTGAACAGACCATGAGAATATTCGGCTTTATGTCTATATATTTTGTATATATTAGGGATTGAGTAGATATTCGTAGATATTCTTCTTTCCTTTTTCAGTCCTAGGTTAGATTGTTATATAAAGTGACGTACTCGTATTACAAACACAATTGAATATACAAAAATCATTCAGAAATCTTACAAGGTATCAAAGCCATCTCTGAGCCAAAACCCTAGAAGTCAACAGCTTCTTCTCCTTCTGTGTTTGTCCAGTTCAACTACAGGCTTCTTTTGTGGTTCCCTCTTGTTCGCGACACTTAGCCTCTACCTCACGAACCATTCGCGACTGACTACCTCTGCTTCGTGACTCATCTGAGTTCGATTCTGCCTCTGCTTCGTACCCTCTAGTTTTCTGGTTTGTGATCAGTCATAGTCGTGACACATCTGGTTGTCATCTTCTCAGTTCCTTGGGGCTTCGATTCATCTGAGTTTTGATTTCGCCTTCGTCGCAATCAACCTCTCCAGTTCTCTCTGTCGCTTCAGTTTGCGAGGACCATCTCTCTCTCTACCTAGACTTCAACGATCGAAGAGGTGTCTATCTCTGGTTTGCTTGACTTCGACTTCGGATTCTAGTCCCGTCTCTCTTAGCTTCATTCTCCTTTTGTCTCTGGTTCTTGATTTGTTTGGTGGTTCTCAGTACTGTTCTTAGACTTTGCTTAGGTATTACAATTAACATCCTATTTTAGTTTATTACACTAAAACCCCCGAAGTTTTCTAAGTATTATACTTTGCCCCATCAGTCCTCTTCTTTGCCTCTAGTTCATACCAATGTCAAATGCTAAGATTAATAGGCCTAACACTAGGCCACTGACTTCAGATGAGTGTGCTTTTTGCCATCAGAAAGGCCTTTGGAAGTATCATTGCCCCAAAAAGAGATGTCTGTATGCTTCGCCTGTATCTGCCTCGTCTTCTCAGCCATTTCCGATCCAATTTTGCGCCCCTCCTCTGAGTACCGTTCAGCCTACCACCGGTTCTACTGCATCTACTCTAGCTCCTGATCCTGATTTGGCTTCCTTGAGTGCTCAGATTAATCATCCATACACTGTCTAACTCCCAGCCATCCCCGTCTGCCTCCATTGTTTTCTCTCTTTATTCAAGTTTGCTTAGGTCTTCTTCAGGTATCTTTTAGTCTGTCAGAATTTTTTACTCATCATATAACTCCCCATCTCTTCTTACTTCAAAATTGTTTCCTATTACTGTTAATGCTGGTAATGGGTCTTGTATGTCTGTATATCTGTTGGGTCTGTCTTACTGTCTTCTATGTCTATTGTCTCTATTCCATCTGCCTTTTATGTTCTTCAGTTATCTA